CAGTTTCTGGTTTCTCCGAAGGACTGTTGAATGCATTACCGAAACAAAACGGACAATTGGATCGTTGGTTAATCCACTACAACGTCTTCCAAACATGATTATAAGAGACGACGTCACCAGCGAAGTTAATTGTGCATGTTCAAACTGGTCACTCACACCCGACCGAAAGCTGCTACCTTAACGTGGTGGTCGGGCTTGAACACCGCAATGACCTAATCAAGCTATACTGGCTGAGACTTATGTCTCTTGAGGTTCTACACTGCCAGGAAGGTTGTTTGGATAGCGGTTAAACAAAAAGCAGCTACCCATCCAATACCATGATCCAAACAAATTCACAAAATTTCATGCCGGATCGGCCGTGGCCCGGATTAACAACGACCGCGCTTCCTGCTGCCGTGTCACAGGGCAGGAGTGATAAGTATGCTACTGAGGCACACCAAACAAAAGAGAACAAACAAAAACAGGCCGCGTGTGACCGGCCTCAAGCAGTTGTCCCCTGGGCTCTGCGGTCACGCAACCAACTTCCACGGTGTGGGCAGCCGGGAAGTAACAATCGCCCTCACAATCCAAAATGCACACAAAACCTCTCTAATCCTCACTTATCTTTGTCTTCATCTTCATCTCTATTACCTTGCCTTCCTCCCACTGATGCAACTCCTCTACTTGATGGCTCCTCACTCCTCTTCACTCTGTGTCCACTAAAAACGACGAAAGCCAAAAAACCACCACGATAGTCTCCTAAAGCCACGCCACCAATTTCATATAGGAGCATTTAATGTTAGGACACTTTGCCAAATAGGACAACAAGCATCACTAGCTAAGACCCTGGCATCCGAGCCATTGATGTATGTTGTGTTTCAGAAACACGCATACAAGACCCAAGTGTGGTTATTCACCTAACCCCACCTGGCCAACAGGATGAATCTTCAAAATTCACCTTGAGGGTGTCAGGAGATGCCACAGCTAGTTCACGAGGATTAGCTGGCGTAGGGATAGCTTGAGTACTAGGGCAGAAAAGACATTGCTTGACTGGATCCCAGTAGATAGCCGAATGTGTGCTGTCCGTCTGAACGGATCAGTAAGAAGGAGAAAGGACTGCACTACTCGCCGATGCCTTTTCGTAATCTCCGCCTACGCCCCCACTGACTGCAGTTCGGATGAAACGAAGGATGAGTTCTACCAAAAGCTGTCTAGTTTGGTGAGAAAGGCTAAACGCTCAGATATAGTCGTTCTAGCTGGTGACTTTAACGCTCAAGTAGGGAAATTGTGTCAATCTGAGAAGGATGTCGGTGGCACCTATGGAGTTCCGTGCCAGCGAACCGACAACGGTGACCGTCTCCTACAGTTCTGTTCAGATAATCATTTGTTTCTTGTAAGCACTAACTTTAAACACAAGGAGAGACACTGTTTAACCTGGCGACCCCCATCATCAAACCAACGCTGGACACAAATAGACCACATAGCAATAAGCTATCGTTGGCGTGGGTCGGTAGGAGATTGTCGCTCCTTCTGGAACACGTGTGTAGATACCGATCACGCACTGGTCCGGGCTCGTGTGTGCTTACGACTGAACGGACGTAGGAAACAGCTGGCGGTAAAACCATCACGTCCCCAGCTCGATCAGGAAACTAAATCCCTATTTGAGGAAGAACTAGCTAAACGCATATCTGAATTCGACAGCTGTGCTCACCCTGGAGAAGCCTGGAAGAATATTCAGTCAGCTATAGATACAGCTGTAAAAGCTGTGAATAAGGCAAATCCAAAGGTGAGTAAAAACCACTGGATTTCGACTGCCTCATCCGAACTGATAGATGCTAGAAGACTTATTCCGGCGAGCTCCGAATTCAATGAGGAGCGAAAGCTGCACAAAAGGAAACTTACTAAAAGTCTCCGCAAGGACCGTGAACAGTGGTGGGTGACAAAGGCAAAAGAGATGGAAAAAGCATCGGCGATAGGCAACACTAGGCAACTCTTTAGACTCATCAGAAACGGGTGGGAGAAGGCAATTCATAAGTGAGACTATTTCTGAGAAAAATGGCTCCTTAATTAGCTCTCAGGATAGACGCCTTGAACGCTGGAAAGAACACTTTGAGGACAATTTAACTTGCCTACAGCCACACTGAACCTCCCCGACATCCACCACACCCGAATGGGATATAGACACTGGTCCGCCGTCTGTAGTGAGGTCACAAAAGCTATCAGTAATTTGAAACGAGGCAAAGCGGCAGGACCCGACGGAATTATTCCGGAGGTGTTTAAATATGGGGGTGACATACTAGTTTGTAGATTAACTGAGGTACTAGGCAAAGTCTGGGAATCAGAGACAGTACCATCAGACTGGGGTAAGTCACTTATTATACCGATATTCAAGAAGGGAAACAAGTCCTCGTGTGATAATCATAGGGGGATCAGCCTAACGAACATAGTCTCTAAAATCCTAGGCTCAGTAATCATGCATAGACTAAGCAGAACTCGGGAGGAACAGACAAGGGAAAATCAAGCAGGCTTTAGACCAGGTAGAGGGTGCATAGATCATATCTTCACTCTTCGACAGATTCTAGAACATAGACACACTTTTCGGCGTCCAACAATTGTCATATTTCTTGACTTGAAGGCGGCCTTCGACTCCGTGGATCGAAAGGTACTATGGCAATGTCTGACTGTGAAGGGAGTGCCAAGAAAGTACATTGCACTAATCAAGGCACTCTATTCAAACTCACGTAGTCGTGTAAGGGCTTATGGGGAATTGTCATCTGAATTGGTAACAACCAGTGGTGTCCGACAGGGATGTCCACTTTCCCCATTTCTGTTTAACTTCATCATAGATATGCTAATGGAAGTATCCTTAACTGAACGTAGTGACTTAGGAATCGACTTGTTACCAGGGAATAATCTTATGGACTTAGAATATGCAGATGACATAGTCCTGTTAGGGGAGGATGCTGACAAAATGCAGAGTCTTCTGAACACCTTGAGCAGCAATCTTCGTATGTTTGGCATGCGATTCGCCCCTGCAAAATGTAAGATGCTGCTACAGGACTGGACCACGTCAACCCTAACTTAGTGATAGGGAGTGAAGTGATAGAACATGTTGACCACTTCACCTATTTGGGAAGTTGTATTAGCACCAACGGACTGATTGGCGATGAAATCTCAGCACGGATCCGAAAAGCTCGAGCTGCTTTCGCTGACTTACACCATCTCTGGCGTAGGCGTGACATCCGGTTATCAACCAAGGGACGTGTGTACTGCTCATCAGTTCGCTCCGTCCTTCTCTATGGCTCTGAAACATGGCCAATACGCGTTGAAGACATGAAAAGGTTGACTGCTTTCGATCATAGATGTCTGCGATCTCTGTCTCACGTTAGGTGGTTTCACAAGGTAAGTAATGTTGACGTTAGGCGTAGAGTGTTGGGCAAAGAGGGAAAATCAATCGACGAGGCTATAAAGTTACATAGACTAAGATGGCTAGGTCACGTGGTGCGCATGCCTAACCACCGCCTCCCCCGACGGGCATTGCTAGCTGATATAGGTTCAGGTTGGAAAAGAGCCAGTGGTGGCCAAACAAAAACATGGCATCAATCCATGAAATCCTTGACAGTTAAACTGAGTCAGGTAGGGAGATGCAGACTCCCGGGTTGGGGCCCTCGGGACTCTAGGAATCAATGGCTGGAGACAATAGGTGACATGGCTCAAAATCGTTGTCAATGGCGCAGATGTATTCAGTCTCTGTAATCTTTCATATTCCTTTCTACCATTACCCATTCTGTTTCACTCTTATACTTGTCAAACTCTATTGATTCTCTTCACTCATCTTCTTGTCTACCTCTGTGTGCTATTTGGAACGTGGCAACTCGAACTGCTGCACTTCGGTGCCAAGTTCTATGTTGAATCCAGACAGACTTGATAGTCTAAAAGAACCTAAGGAAGTAGACCGATCAACAATATCCTGCAATACGAACATATCTTCTCTTAGAACTACACGTTTGCATGCACATAGTGCCTTAAGTTCATCAAACGGGACATTCCTTGATCACAGTCCTCTTAGTTTTTTGTACTTTGAGGTAAGTAGTGCCTTGTGTATATTTCTGATTGTTACTTCAACATACTGATTTGGTTGGTATATCTATAGAGCAGTCCGTTTGTGTAAAGAATGAAGTGACAGCAGATCTAGTGTACGGAAAGATACTCGCCCATGACATTGGCTAGTGGTCGCGCTATGTCATGAATTAGCAGAAGTTGGAATTGATGGGGGAGTGGATCGTGTCATAGCGAACTATTGGTCTACGAACTCACCTCGCAACCACAAGACCCTAGGTTCGAACCCCAGAGAGTATGTGTCGCCGAAAAGTCCCAAACTACACCGAGACAGCTGTCCAGCTTTTTCAATGGGCCTGTAACCAATGTCAGCTCATGATGAAATCTTGTAGCCAATCATATCAGTCCCCTGCAAACCAACAATTAAACGCGATATTAGTTGAGAGCATGCCGTACTTCTCACACTAAAATCACAGTAACTGACACTGGTCCACCGTTACAGCCGTTTTTCGCAACCATCTTTTTCAGGTAAAGACGTTGTTCTATTTGACAAAAACACTAGTCTTAAGAATTCGTGTAATCTGAGCTAAATTTATCACAATCTAAGAACTAATTAAACCTAATGTGTCTCATGAATCTGATAGTTCTAATCCATTACATACTTTTGCAAGATGATCAAAAGCACGGAATCTATGCACCCTTATTTGTCCCAATCGGCTTCGCTTTATTTCTATCCACACTACGAGCGTTCAAAATCTAATCCCGCGACAACAAAACATAGGATGTGTATTTACTTGTTTATTTTGCACCTGTTATTTAAAAGCAATAAAAAGTTTATATACAATCTGGGCTTTTCAGACTTTTAACTAAATCCATGACCCTTATACAATCTGAAATAATTGACAGAATGAGCAGCAGCTAGTGAGTAACAAGACAGTTCAACTCGCCTCCATACTATTCAATTATGAGCAGATTAGGGATTTTAGATCAACATCGAATTCATCGTATTCCTTTTTGAAAAGTACACTTTTCGTTTTCTTTCCTATAGCCCGACTTTCTGTAGCTCCAAAAACTTCCCGTCTTGTCTGGTTTATTAGTCTTCCAAGTGTTGTTAGCTCGGCATCTGCCCTGCAAATATTACTACGATGTAAGTCTTTGCAATTATCAGGTTCACGTTGAGTATCTAGTAACAAGAAAAAATGGGAAGAAAACAAAATAACTAGATTGGACAATACACGTACATGTGAGTACTTATTTAAGCGCATGCTTTCAGAAGAAAGCGTGGTTCGTATTGTTACAGTCAGATTCCAAATTAAGGTGCTTTAAAACTAGTTTCCATTCATGAGTTCGTTTAGTGTATATCATGCTACAGCAAACGCCGAGCTAATCTGACTAATGCATCCAGCAGGTCGTCCGAATGTGAAACCTGTTACCGTTGACAGTTAGTTAAATTATTTTACCATCTATCAGTCATTCACCCTTTCGACTTAAGGTTCTCAGGTATACAACTATCAATTCTCAGTAATCATTATCAGAATAATCGCAGTGTTTTTAGGCATGTGACACTCTTTTACAGTTAGTATATTCACGTTTCATGCTTAATATAGCAATGATAAAATTGAAGAATAGAACTTGACAGGCAGTTTCTAGCTTAAAGCATAATTGCTTTTAAGTGAGTCAATAGGTCAAATAAATTGTGAAGTGCGAGTGGAAGTAACAATTAAATCAACCCTGTTTCATATTCTTCTCAAATTGGAGCAAGCCTGGCATTCCAGAGATTCTCGTTGACAGCATAGGTCACGATGTAGTAAACAAAAATGATTCTGTATTACTGCCGAACTCTTTTAGTTGTTTGCACTCTTCACTAAGGCATCTCATACATTATATATATATATATATATATATATATATATATATATATATATATATATATATATATATATAAAAAACAAAACACGTAGATCAGCGAAGAGTCTCTTTTCGGCGAATTCATTTTCTTAGCTGTACAATCGCAAATATATATGCAATGTTTTGTATGTATGTGTACATTAAGTTTGTCAAACAAAGTTACAATTGGTTAAGGTTACTTTTAACTAAACAAGTGAAGGATGGTAATACAGGTCAAGAAAATTAAGTGCTAATGAAACTAGGGTAGTAAAAAAATGATGAGTTGTCACAAACAGTTGTAATAATAATAGTGAGTTTTACTCAGGATGCACATAGAAACAAAGTAGATAATACGAAACTATGTAAGAGATCTAAGTGGATACAAGAATTATAATTGCTTAAGGTTATTTTAACTAAACAGGTAAAGGTTGGTAATATAAGTCAAGACCATTAAGTGCTAGGGTAGTAACAAAGGTGATGAGTTGTCACAAACAGTTGTTAAAAGAAGTTATGCAATAATAATATGAATAGTTTGATGAGTGAGTTTTACTCAGGATGCACATAGAAACAAAGTAGATAATACGAAACTATGTAAGAGATTTAAGTGAATACAAGAATTATAAGCAATTAAGGAACAGGCGAAGAAACAAAATTAAGTCATCAAAATAAAAATAAAAGCTCAAAACAAATCAAAACACTGTTACCATGAGAGTAGAAGTGGTTGAGTAATCTTCTTTTGTATGCACAGCTCCGGTTTTTCCATGTGAATGGCCAGAGCTTCAGCGATGCAAAGGAGACGAAACCGTATTGCCTTTGATATGTTATTCTTGACTCTGTAGATTACTTTGAAGGAGGCGTTCGTTGAAATGCAATGATCAGTGTTGACCAGGTGTTCAATTATCGCACTCCTTATTGCACCAGTATTGCCTTTTCGCAACCATGCTGGATAATGTTCTTGAATTCTCTTGGACAGGATGTGCGTCGAACGACCGATGTACCTGGCTCCACAGCAGCAGGTGAACTGGTATATGCACATAGAAGTGGCCAGATGCGGGATCTTGTCCTTGAGGCTTCTGCAGATCAGTGGGCGACTGGAGAACACTATTCGTAGCGTTGCTGCAAAGAACGTTCTTCTCAGAGATGATGTGATCCTTCTCTTGAGGATATCGCTTGCTAAATCTCCCTTGAAATCCAAATTCATGTAGATTTTCTTTTTAGGCGCAGTTAAAGTTTCGTTTTTCCGAATTATTGGTTTCATATTTTTGTCGATAAATCTTATTGGGTATCCATTTTGGATGAATATTTCTCTCAGAATATCTAATTCTGTTTCCAGAACGTCGGGACTACAGATGCGTCGGATGCGAGTAGCAAGTGATTTAATTAAGTTTCGCTTTTGTTGAATGGGCACCCAGCTATAGAAGCTTGTTAGTTGACCATTCCACGTAGGTTTTCTATGGATTGATCTTCTTAGGCTCCCATCAGCTCTTCTTGTCAGTTCCACATCAAGAAACGGAATTTTTGACTCGTTTTCCATTTCAAGAGTGAATTTTATTGCTGGATGGCAATTGTTAAATGTCTTCAGCAGCAGATTGGGGTCGTTGTTGTTGTCACAAATAATGAAAATGTCATCCACGTATCTTTTATACAGTCGCAAATTGTCGATGCTTGGCTTTAGTGAACCTCTCTCGAGGCTTGCCATGAAGCAATCTGATAGTAGTGGACCCAACGGAGATCCCATTGCAATACCATCCTTTTGTCTGTAGATGGTGTCGTTGAATGTGAACTGGACGTTCAGAGTGCATCTCAATAATAGTTCTTTCAAGTATGTTGTCGGTATTCCAATATCGAGGTGGTTGTCATCTATATATCTGCATATGAAGCAGACCGTTTCTGTGAGTGGGACATTGGTGAAAAGTGACTCGATGTCGAAGGATAGCATAATTTTGTTAGATACATTCGTGTCTTGTATGCACTCGATGAACTGGAAGGTGTCACGGAGCGAGTACGTACATAATTGCTTCCTTACAGGTTCCAGAATATCTGCTAGCCATTGTGCAATAGAGTGGTAAGGGAACCTGACATATCCAGAATGGACGAAGTGGAGACTTTATGGTCTACCAAAGGTACACAAGTTGGTCTCCCACTTCGTCCAATTCTGGATATGTCAGGTTCCCCTTACCACTCTATTGCACAATGGCTAGCAGATATTCTGGAACCTGTAAGGAAGCAATTATGTACGTACTCGCTCCGTGACACCTTCCAGTTCATCGAGTGCATACAAGACACGAATGTATCTAACAAAATTATGCTATCCTTCGACATCGAGTCACTTTTCACCAATGTCCCACTCACAGAAACGGTCTGCTTCATATGCAGATATATAGATGACAACCACCTCGATATTGGAATACCGACAACATACTTGAAAGAACTATTATTGAGATGCACTCTGAACGTCCAGTTCACATTCAACGACACCATCTACAGACAAAAGGATGGTATTGCAATGGGATCTCCGTTGGGTCCACTACTATCAGATTGCTTCATGGCAAGCCTCGAGAGAGGTTCACTAAAGCCAAGCATCGACAATTTGCGACTGTATAAAAGATACGTGGATGACATTTTCATTATTTGTGACAACAACAACGACCCCAATCTGCTGCTGAAGACATTTAACAATTGCCATCCAGCAATAAAATTCACTCTTGAAATGGAAAACGAGTCAAAAATTCCGTTTCTTGATGTGGAACTGACAAGAAGAGCTGATGGGAGCCTAAGAAGATCAATCCATAGAAAACCTACGTGGAATGGTCAACTAACAAGCTTCTATAGCTGGGTGCCCATTCAACAAAAGCGAAACTTAATTAAATCACTTGCTACTCGCATCCGACGCATCTGTAGTCCCGACGTTCTGGAAACAGAATTAGATATTCTGAGAGAAATATTCATCCAAAATGGATACCCAATAAGATTTATCGACAAAAATATGAAACCAATAATTCGGAAAAACGAAACTTTAACTGCGCCTAAAAAGAAAATCTACATGAATTTGGATTTCAAGGGAGATTTAGCAAGCGATATCCTCAAGAGAAGGATCACATCATCTCTGAGAAGAACGTTCTTTGCAGCAACGCTACGAATAGTGTTCTCCAGTCGCCCACTGATCTGCAGAAGCCTCAAGGACAAGATCCCGCATCTGGCCACTTCTATGTGCATATACATATACACCTGCTGCTGTGGAGCCAGGTACATCGGTCGTTCGACGCACATCCTGTCCAAGAGAATTCAAGAACATTATCCAGCATGGTTGCGAAAAGGCAATACTGGTGCAATAAGGAGTGCGATAATTGAACACCTGGTCAACACTGATCATTGCATTTCAACGAACGCCTCCTTCAAAGTAATCTACAGAGTCAAGAATAACATATCAAAGGCAATACGGTTTCGTCTCCTTTGCATCGCTGAAGCTCTGGCCATTCACATGGAAAAACCGGAGCTGTGCATACAAAAGAAGATTACTCAACCACTTCTACTCTCATGGTAACAGTGTTTTGATTTGTTTTGAGCTTTTATTTTTATTTTGATGACTTAATTTTGTTTCTTCGCCTGTTCCTTAATTGCTTATAATTCTTGTATTCACTTAAATCTCTTACATAGTTTCGTATTATCTACTTTGTTTCTATGTGCATCCTGAGTAAAACTCACTCATCAAACTATTCATATTATTATTGCATAACTTCTTTTAACAACTGTTTGTGACAACTCATCACCTTTGTTACTACCCTAGCACTTAATGGTCTTGACTTATATTACCAACCTTTACCTGTTTAGTTAAAATAACCTTAAGCAATTATAATTCTTGTATCCACTTAGATCTCTTACATAGTTTCGTATTATCTACTTTGTTTCTATGTGCATCCTGAGTAAAACTCACTATTATTATTACAACTGTTTGTGACAACTCATCATTTTTTTTACTACCCTAGTTTCATTAGCACTTAATTTTCTTGACCTGTATTACCATCCTTCACTTGTTTAGTTAAAAGTAACCTTAACCAATTGTAACTTTGTTTGACAAACTTAATGTACACATACATACAAAACATTGCATATATATTTGCGATTGTACAGCTAAGAAAATGAATTCGCCGAAAAGAGACTCTTCGCTGATATACGTGTTTTGTTTTCATTAATGCCTGGATGGGGATTATCCATGAATATATATATATATATATATATATATATATATATATATATATATATATATATATATATATGTTTATATGTATATATGCGAAATAAAACCTCAATACAATTCACCACAGTACGATCGATTAATACACATCTACAATTCCTATCACTATCATCAAATATACAATTACTTCCTGAGTTTCTAGTGTCAAATAATTACAGCTATTCTTAGCCTGTTAAACTAGTTCCGTATCGATAAGGTTCAAGTTTTAATCCTACCAATGACTGAATAGAAGTAAATTTAAGTACACCGCCTAATACCTCCTTTGATAATGCAGCGCTGATGACTGACTAACACTATGAACTCAATGGTGGCTATATCATGCGGCTTCATTCATCGGTCAACAACATCGCATTGTGATATGCTGTCTAATCTTATACTGATGACGCCAAACAAAACATGTACAAAGATTATTGGGATAGCTTTCAAGAGAAAGCACCTCAAAAAGGAAATCCCAGTTCAAACTACAATCACGTATGAACTTAACTGTGCATACACACACACACACACACACACACAAAGTCTTCGGTTACTGAAATCATCCAGAAAAAATATAACAATATGTAACTACGAATAAGAGGACGAGGAGATTTTGTCCTCCCAAGCTCCATCATTTAGTCACAACATCCTGGATGATGTCGAGGAGCAGTGAGTATACTTCCATATTAGTTTGTTTGTTGGATATATCACACAGTGAGACAGTATCCAGTAAATAATACTGTTTCACTGTGTGATATATCCAATAAACAAACTAATATGGAATTGCTAACACAATGCCCAAGTTTTACACATACATTAACAGTTACCTACATACATATTTAACTATACCGTTTAACACTCTTAGTTATGGCAACCGAGACTGGAAATTTCTACACGGTCAATTTGCACTTTAGTGGATGAATAACCGTAAACTACAAATGTACTTCATTGGTGTATGCATTTCGTTTTGAAGTATCACGCCCAAAAAACATTGTGGAAACAAGAGTTGAACTAAATCCAAATAATTAGCGCTAACATTTCGGTAAATATATAACACGTAAAAACGTTTTGCAGAAGTGCATCCATTTAAGTCATCACGCCTGAAGAATAATTAATACAGAGGCAAATACGTAATGACACTGAAACACATCAACATATGCGAAAGTTTAAACCATCAACAGATTCTCAGTGCTCTACACTAGGCAACCCGCACTTGATCACGTGGCTCAGACTGAACCAACTACTTCACACAACGCCGCTGATACGCTTCCGCTTCATCATTTCTAAAGATCAGACTTCCAAATGTATTCCATGGAGGAAAAGCCACGAGACAGTGTTGTCAGTTAGGTTGGTCTTATCCAGTCATTACTTTCCAAGCTGAAATCACGACTAGCTCAAACATTGTTAATGCTGCCCAAATGGATGCAGAGAAGACCGAAGTAGGCTTCTTATTAAATAACAATCACACCCAAGGAGCCATATCCCTTTACATCTTTTGTTACTGATCATGGGAAGAACAATTTACCGCCTATTCGCAGTAGTCTCAGAGAAAATGTGGTCTAGAATCCCCTACTTTGAAGTAGCCACTTCATGTAGCAACTAATGTTACGTGACTTAACTGACTAACCAAAACCCTACACGAAATTTACATAGGCCCAAGGGTTTTGCAACATCCAGGGTTCAGGAGTGCAAACTACTATACTACGGTAAACTCATACAATGTACCTTGGGGAAGATTCACTTACTCATACAAAAATTTGGCGAGAACAAGAAACAAGATATCAAGAATATAAAACCAATAATTATGGATTCAGAAGATCGGAAAATACCTTTTTTGTTTGAAAACGTCTTCCAGCTAACTTTCTTAGCGTCACGTTTGCGGTAAAGTTCGTTACGAAGACGCTTCAGCTGACCTTTACTTTGATTTTTCTTACTGGACTTTTTGGTGACTCTAAAGAATAGCGGCCCAAACCGAAACGACCTTCGAACAAAAAAGTGACCTTGAGGAAGGAATCAGCTGACTGTATCATTTTCGGATGTAATCATGGATGTTTTCGATTACTTTTTGGATAACGGACTGATAGCCTTGTCGAAAATTTGCCAATGCGGAGGAGTTATGCATATACAAAAATAGACAGAAGCCATTGATGGCTTTGTATACAGATGTATTGAGTGCCGAAAGAGGGAATCGGTTCGAGATGGTTTGTCGTTGTTTTTTAGTTTACAGATCGCTTAGGAACTTTTCTATCAAGGTCTAAACTGCCTTTGATGAAAATTTTAATGATCTGTAACTTCTGGGTCTTGAAAAGAGCAGTCACAGCTACAGCTTATGAAACAAAATTCAGAGGTGTCAGCAGTGCAATGGTACAACTACTGCAGAGATGTTTCCTCCCGGAAAATGAACACCCTGACTCAAGTTCTCGGAGGAGTCAGCAGCATGGTCCATATTGATGAGACTGTACTTATAAGAAGGAAATACAACCGCGGGAGATTACAAGCAAACCAGCAGTGGATATTAGGTATCTACGACACGACACTGCGCAAAGGGTATATAGAAGCGATTCCCAATCGCAGTGCAGCAGTATTAGTGTCTATTATTAAGCGTTTGGTGTTGCCGGGGACGACTATTCATACAGATGAATGGAGCGGATACCGTCAATTATCGAATCATGGGTACATTCATCATGTTGTTAATCATACGGACGGTTTCCGGAATCCTTTAGATGGAACCCACACCAGTTCCATTGAAAGTTTTAGGAGTCGTCTAAAAAGACGTATAAGAGCGGTAATGGATCGAGAAATCATATGATTTACAGTTACCTGGATGAATTTATGTACCGAAACTGGTTTCATACGACTATGAAGACTCCCATGAGAAACTGGGAGGTTTTTTGAGACATATACGCGAGCGCCATCTTTTGTAACTGTTTATTATGATTGCATTACTTATATATAAACCGTTTTTTACAATTATGCGCCTTCCATTTTGAGCCTTCTCATTGGCCGAAGTTGTCCCTGTCAAGGTCATTTTTGCGTTAAAAGGTCGTTTCGGTTTGGGCCGCTATTCTTTAGAGTCACCGACTTTTTCTTAGACTGAAATTAGTTTCCAAGTACATAGAATTCAGAAAGGAAATTACCTCAGTTTTCTGAAACCCAGCATTAGATGGACCAAATGTCGTTCGGCTCAATCCCTTTTTCAAAAGTGATTTCATTAGTCGGGTCAAGTTAAACTTTATCAACGCGCGAACTTTGAAAAGGGGTTGAATCAGATCTCAGATTTATTGGTTGGGGATAGAAGGATTAGAGCCTATGTCAATCCTTTTCTAGTGAATTTCTGTAGTTGTCCAAATCCTTCTTGAATGAGTCAGTTCGGGTTGCAGACACCACTTCTTCTGGGAGTCGGTTCCAAGGGTTTATGTCTCGGTGTGAGAACCAGTACTCAATAGCAATATGACTTCTTCTTGGCTTTTGAACTCTCCTGCTATGTCCTCTAAGGTGTTCCGACCCGGTGTGAAGGAAAAGAGCGAATAGGTCAGGTCCGTGGTCATAATTTAAAATTTTAAACATTGATTAAATCTCCCCTTTGTCTACGGTATGGCAGGGAGAAGAGATTTAAACTGTCTAGTCTTTCCTCGTATGATAAGTTAGTCATGCCGAGAAACATACGTGTTGCCTTCCTTTTAACCCTTACTGGAGTGTGTGAGTCCCCGTTTAGACAAGGACTGGCCGCCTAGATACAGTTTTCCAGTCTTGACCTCACCAGAGATGTATATAAGGAGGTGAGCATGTCTCTGGTGACTCTAGTACAGGCTCTGCGAATTGCCCATAAGGGCCTGGAACTACGTGCAGCCACCGCGCGACAGTGGGCTGCGGTCTTTAAGTCGTGGCCAACTATGACATCCAAGTCCAAGTGAGTCCGAACTGATGGAAGTGTTGCTCCCTCTAGTTCGTAGGAGCTGGTGCTTGCTTGCGCGACGCTCATGGTTGCACATTTTGCCACATTGATCGGGAGCATCCATTCTATGGACCATTCTGACAATTTGTCGAGGTCCTCCTGCAACGTGGACGTATCACTATTGCCCTCCAGCTCTCTCCAAATTTTTAAGTCATCTGAGTATAGGACCATGGGGGGGTCGGTGAGCAAGGATAACTCATTGATATACAAAATAAATAGGAGAGGTCCGAGTAACGTGCCTTATGGCACTCCACTACGCACTGCTGTCCAAGAGGAGAATTTCCATTTGATCCTAACCCTCTGGCTCCAATCTATGAGGAATTCTCCGAGCCAGTTTAATAATCTGCCTTTGATATCAAGACTTTCCAACTTCATGAGTAGTCTTTTGTGAGGTACTTTATCAAAGGCTTTGCTGAAGTCTATGAAGACGACGTCAACGGATCTTCTGTTGTCCCTTGATTTGATCCAGCTTTCCCTCGCAGTGAGGAGATTTGACAGGCATGAGAGGTTTCTTCGGGAGGCGTGCTGCGCTCTGGATAACAAGCTGCTGTTTTCCAGATATGTCATGATGCTTTTCTTGATGATTCTTCCCAGTGTCTTGATTAAAGTGCTGGTGAGGATGATAGGCCTGTAATTTGAAGGGCTTTGTCTTGATCCTCCTTTGTGGGTGGAGGTTACTATGGCGTCTGTCCAGTCACGCGGAGAGATAGCTTGAAGGTCGTGGTCAAAGGGCCGGCTATGTGAGCTGATAACTCCTTGAGGAGCCTTGGATGAAGATTATCAGGACCCATTGATTTCCCTGAATCTGGTTTCACTAGGCAGTTGAGCATGATGCCTTGGTTGATGTCAACGGAATCTATTCCGTATTCCTATGATGCAGCTACAGCTGAAAATATAGGGAGTGACGATTCCTGTGTAAAGACTTAAGGGAAGCAGTCTGTCATTGCTTCTGCTTTTCCTTGGTCTCTTTCGACTGTGCCATTGCCAATAGTCAGGTTTGGGACACCATTGGACATTTTATTCCTGAAGCTCATGTACGAGAAAATTTTTTTAGGTTGTGTCCTTGCATTTTGAGCCTGATGTGCTTCAAAATTCATCCTTGATTGGGTGATTTCTGCAATAGCTTTATTCCCCACGCTCTCGTTTTGTTATACGCCACAAAAGTCTGCAGAATATTTTAAAATCAGTTTATTCTGGTCGAAGTTAGTTTGCTGTCTAGTTTTGAATCCATTTACCCACAGGAAGTGTGTTCTTATAACTTGATAGCTATTATATATCCATTTTTACACTCATTGATTTTTTCATCATTGATATATACAAAGGTCATAATAGATAAGATAAGATAATAGGTTTATTCCAAATCAGCACCTGTGATACAGAATGGAATTCTCAGCATTTTTACTACAATATTGCATCCAGTTAGTACATTAACAGTAAATAAAGTTCTACATAGATTAAAGTTATCTCAGTCAGTTTTGACAACAACATATTAGCATGTCGGTAGCAAAGCCAAAATTTAAACAGTGTTTGAAGGTGTCAGAAAAGTAGATACTACTAGCATTTTTACCGGCGTAAGCGATAGCAAAATGGTCGAGATATACAGAGTGTGAAAGAACGAAGAAGAATGTTTTAAGTAGAGTTTGTAAGGAAGAGAGAAACAAAACAGCACATAACAAAAATAAATACAGAAAGAGAAAAAAAGGTAGAGAGAAAACGTTGTACCTGTAAATGATGTGAGTTGGAAAGACGAGATCCATTTGTTCTACTGACTATTTAATAAGTTAAAGGTTTCACGCCTAATGCTTTCTTTATCGCACAAAACACGAGCTAGGTAGGGTATGGATGAGTTTTTGTACTTACTAGTGCGGGCATATAGTTTCCTATATAGGCTTCTGGTTTTCCCTGAAGAGATACATGGGGAAGTTGTGAATGTAGAGGGTGTTGTGAGTCAGATAAAATGGATTTCGCCCATTTTTCACATGAGTCCATGTGCCTGTCCACCAGAATATTAACAAGCTGGCTAAGTGGCAAACTGCTTACCCTGCTGACAACCTTTAACATCCTACGTAATAAGGTATAGTCTTTCTTCAATAGCCCAGGAAAGACTAAGGGGGAGCAATAGAGAATAATAGGCAGAATACGGGAGTTAACAAATTGTAGGAGTAAGGGTTGGGTTACACCAGAATGTCTTAACTTCTTGATGTAGAAGGTAAGACGGAATATTTTCTTGGAAATCGTCAAGATATGAGACGACCAGGAAAGATCAGAAGAGATAGTGACGCCTAGGTATTTAATTTCCGACTTGGTTTCTATTTCAGTGCCATCTATGTTGCACACCTCGTGAGTCCTAACCAGTTTGTTTAGGTCAGATTTGTGCCTAATGGTGAAATTAACTGTTTGGCATTTGGAGGGGTTTAAGGTGAGACCGTTTTCCTTGGACCATTGGCTGATTTCTGATAAGAAGCCATTTAGTTTAGAGCAGTCACTTTGACATTTGACAGGTAAAGATACAGTTAGGTCATCAGCATATTTGACAAAGTTAATGTCATTTGAAGATGGTAGGTCATGTAGGAAGAATGAAAAGAGAAGTGGGGAGAGTACAGCACCTTGGGGGACACCAGCTTCAGTGAGCACAGCAGAGGAGGATTCGCCTTTGTATACGGTGTACTGCATTCTGTTTGAAAAGTAGGAATGCAACCAGTTAGTGACCCAGGACTCGGTTTGTGTCATGGAGAGCTTATTTAGCAAGAGACATCTAGGTACAGAGTCGAAAGCAGAAGTGAAGTCAAGAAACGTGCAGCGGACATATTTGGCACCTTTATCTAATGATGAGACAATACTGTTGTGTAAGACGGCTGCAGCGTCTAAAGTACTCCTACCCTGTCTGTAGGCAAATTGTTTGGGGTCTTCGAAGCTTTTAAGGGAGGGTTCGAGTTTAAGAAGTACTAGTTTTTCCATGAGCTTTAGAAACGGGGAAGTGATGGCAATGGGTCTGAACTTTACGTTCTTGCTATTGCCAGGTTTAGGGACAGGGACTATTTTAATGTCTTTCCATGGAACAGGTACAACGTTTTCGGAGAAAGAAGCATTTAGGATATTAGTTAGAGGAGAACATAAAGCATCTGCACATTGTTTTAGAACATATGCAGGTATGCCATCAGGGCCAAGACTATGTGAGGGCTTAAGAGTTTTAAGACATTTTAAAACATCAAGAGTGTCAACATCCTGGAAGTTATCAGCTACAAGATTAGTAACGTTAGAAGTGGTTATAGTAGAAGGAGAGCGTATAAAAGACAGATTAAGAGCATTAACATCACAAGAGGGAAAAACATTACATCGCTTACTGTTGCCAGTAATTTCATTGAAAAATTTCCACATGCTGATAGGAGATTTGCATGATAAAAGTGTTTGGTTATAGATAGCATTAAGATTTTTGATTTCAGATTTGATTTGAGCATTAATCTTTTTAAGTCCTAACTTGTCTTTGCATTTATATAACATTTCTTTTTGCCTGCGAAGTTGTTTGAGATGGGGAGACGAGAAGCGGTCGAGGCGTTTGAACAGTGTTTGTTTGGGACAGCATATGTCGAGGCAGAACTTAAGATAATCCATTATATTGGTGATTGAGTCATCTAATGTACTTTCATAGAATAAATCCCAGTTAGTATCTTTTAACATGCATCTTAGATTGAGTAGGTTGTCAGATGTGTAGCATCTTTGTTGTGCTTTCGTAGACAGGTGTGAGAAGATTTTAATATGTGTTTTGCTGTATATTTTTGGCAAAACACGGACAATGCAGTGATCGGAGTTAGTATCGGTGAACGTCTACGTGTTTCATATACTCCTTCGTCATTAGTAAAAACTAGATCGAGTGTTTTGTCAAGTCGAGTGGGAAATTTGACTATGTTTGTGTGACCAAGAGCTTCAAGAAAGGAGCAATCTGAGGAGTTGAAGTCCCCAGTAATAACGGATAGAGAGTTGTCGAAGTTGGCAGCAGCAAACATGGTGAATTCATCAGCAAAATTAGATAGATCAGATGGAGAGCAGCTAGGAGAAATGTACATGTTTGTAATATAGATTGTTTATATTTGGGGAGATGTTTGGGGCGACATTTGACAGTAATACAGTCAATGAAGTCATTTGAGAAGGTGAAGCAGACGTTATTTGAGACAGACCATTTGGAGTGAATAAAAGTTGCAACGCCA